CACCAGCTAGGCAGCCCAGGTCTGTGGCCCATCCCACACTGCCTGCTTGTGACTCAGAATGAGTCTGTTAGGGCTGGGCTGCAGTGGCTTCAAGTTACAAAATCCCAGGATACCAAAGTTAAAGGCCCTTGAAAGACCATCCAGCCTAGTGGCCGTCACGCTGCATTCTTTAGAGTCCTGGGAGTCTCCTGAGAACTCAGTGGCCACTTTGTGGGTTAAGGAGGCCAGGTAGATAGAGGTCCAGGTTCCCCTATCCCCCCCACACACACATCTTATTCCAAGCAGCTTTAGTTTTTCTCTATATTGGGCTTCACATAACATTTCGTTTGACAAGAGGTCCTTGAGAAAGTTTTTATTCAACACTGATTTTATTCAACATTTTCATTTGTTCATGTGGGAAAATGGAGGCCAAAAGAGGGGAAGGGACCATCTGAAGGTCATAAACCTCACTACCAGGCCAGGGTCCTGATTGGGAAGTGACCCAGCTAAGTCCTTGAGTGAGACAAGAGTGTGATGGAGAGTAGCCCTGGGACCAGGAGTGAGTTCAGCTCAGAAGAGGAGGATGAGGGCAATCTTGAGCTTCCCAGGCTTGAACATAGAGACCACTGACAGCCATAGGCTGACCTTGAACATCATGCATGGAGTCCTCCCAATATTGCACCCTAGAAACATGGCTGCCCTGGCCAGCAAATCCCTTGGTTCCCCACCTCTCAGGACCAATAGAGGCCAGTACAGTCTCCAAGAACTTGAGGAATGGGAAGGATATCTCCATGCACTCGGAGCTTGATTTGCCAAGATGACCAAACAAACCACAGAGATGGAGCAATCAGATGGCCCAGAGATGACCCATGTTGGAGCAACCCAAGGTCACTGGCCCACCACCCACTGTCCTACAGGCCTGTATCAGGCCGGAAAGCAATCCCACACCAGATAGCACTTAGGCCCATACTACCTACATGGTTACCACTCACAAAGAACCAATGCACTCTCTCTCACAAGGTTCCAGTTCAGAGCTCCCTCCTACCTCTTTCAGCAACTGCTGGAAGAAACCAAAATCCCAAGGCCTCTGCTGCTGAGTCCTTTTGCCTCTCCCATGACCTCCTTGTGAGCACCAAAAAGAAGTGTCTCAGGGTTCCTTCCCAGCCTGAAACAGGATCGGGGGGTGCATTAGCTCCTGAGCCCTTTGATGCAGAACCTCAGACTCTCAGAACTGAGTCAAACCCTTCTTAGAAGCAGACAGGGGCAGATAATCCACATGTGGAAGAATGAATGGCTGCTGGCGCTAGAAGACATCATAGACCATCCCGTCACCTTGAGTTCCTCCAGTTTTGCCTTTCCAGACATCAGTTTTGGGCAGATGGGCTCTCTCCATGCTCCTTCACTGGCTGAATCTGATGAGTGTCTGAAAGCACTCATCAGATAATGACTGAGGAGGTGCTGACAGTGTCTCCCAGATTTTTTTCTGCACCCTTGGATTGCTATTGGCTATTATCAGACCTTGTAGATGTCCAAGCCCCTTGTTCCTAATAGCCTGTGAGCTGTTTGAGAGCAAGAGACCAGGTCTTCATCAATTTGGGAACCCCTTCACCAAAGAGGGGTCCTGGAATGGAGGAAGTACCCAATAAATGCCCATGAGTGAATTCATCAGTATAACCCACCCACCGTGGGGGGAAGGGTAAATGAGTGGATTCTCTGATCCCCTTTGTCACTATTCATCCTCTACTTTTAGCCCTTTTTCAAATATCATAACCATTTGACAGTCAATTTATGACAATATCATTCACCTGGTAAGCTAACATGCCATAAGAGCTGTGGCTATTTGAGAAAATACTCACTCGTTTTTAAAAACTAGTTTTTTTCAATGAACTAAAAGAATCAGTCTTCATATTCCTCCTGTGTGAGAAGGAAGAAAGGGAAAGAGGGGAGCAGGCCCCACTCTGTGCTCCCAGGTCATTGGCCTGGCCCTTGGAGTGATGGTTGAAGGTCGAGCACAGACCAGATGCTGATGGGACGTCTCCCTCCCTATCATACTCACCCTCCCCTCCTGATCACAAGTACCCCATCATCCCTTGACACTCCCACCACCCTTGGCCCTGGTGGGTTGTGAGGGCCATGAGATCAGCCTTGGGTGAGATTGTGCTTAGGAATGGTGAATCTAGGCCTAGGGCTCAGGCTTAAAGCCTTCTCACCAGCCCCAGGCATCCACCACTTCTGGGTGAAGTGACTTAGTGATCAATTGAAACTGGGAGTTAGGGAGTTAGTTGGGAAACTGTTGGGGGCGGGGGTGATAGAGGGAGGGTATGGGTCCGTGCAACTGCCACAAGTTCAGAATTTCAGAGTGACTGCAGTGTGGAGGGAGGAGGGAGGAGCGGCTGGTGAGGCAGTGGGCTTTGCCAGCTAGTTGAAGGAGCTGAAACTTCAATCTTAGGGCAACAGGGTGTTTAAGCAGGAGAGTGAAGTTGGCCAGCTGTGTGTCGGGGAGGCCTGGGGCAGGGTCAGAAGTGGCTCCCTTCTGTCACATTCACGGCACTTCATGAAGGAGGGCAGGAGGCCAGGTCCTGAGGTCCTAGGATTCAGGACCAGCCACTCTAGTGTTCCTATCATTTCCACCCCCTAATGGCCAGCCCCTGAAGGCCTCAAGTATCTTGAGACAGTTGTAACCTGAGCTCTGGAGTCAGACCACCTGGGTTAAAACCCTGGCTTCATCACACATTGGCTCTGTGGCTTTGGGCCATTACTTTACCTCTCTGCACCTTGTTTTACCTCTAAAATGGGGCTGTTAGGTGACTGTGAGCTGTCATTAGACAACATGTGTAAGACACCCGCATGTAGTAGATGCTCAGTACATGTTAATTGCCCCATTAGCTTCTGTGTCCCTGGAAATCCATATTCCTAACAGCTTTTTGCTGAGTCCCACTTTGAGTCCACCAGCAGCACTTCTTTGCTGGTGGATCCCTAAGTACAGTGGACGTTACCCTCCCTGCAGCAGCAGAGGCTACTTGGCTTGTGCATCCTGATGCTTATGAATGCTGGTGGCAGCTCTGGTAGAGGCCCTGAGCAGAGGCCTGACCATACTCACTACTCCACTGACCCCAACCCCTTGTTTCCTGGACTGCATGGGGCATCAGGAAGTTGAGGCCAATACTTGGAGATGATGAAAAACTGTTAGATGAGAATTTGATACACACTTGAAGCTTCCCACCCGCCCATCTGATCATGGACTCAGGCCATGCTGGGAGGCATCAAGGGGACAAAAATCAGAGGGAGACTGACACTCACTTGTCTGTGGCCCTGGGCAGATCCCTCCCTTCTCTGGGCCTCATTTCCTCATCTGGAAAATGCTCAGAGGTTGACTCTCATGACCATTATGGACTCTTTCCACCTGAGCATTCCTGAAGTCTCTAATGGATAGAAAAGAATTGGAACCCCAAACCTCCACTTTGCCACCAAAACCAAGTGAACAACCCAAGACAGTCAAGATCCCTAGGAGAGGGCTTTACCCCTCCCAAGATGCCTCCAGGCCAAGAGAGGGGCATGTGATGAGGGCATCCATCAGACTTGGCCTGGCAAGGGTGCTGCTGGGTAGGGCACCCAGATCTGACAGTCAAACCCTACCTCTGGCTTCATCAGAGTCAAGAATGGCCTTAGAAGTGAGGTGACCATGGTCTGCATAAGGGGCTGGGAGCTCTAACATGGCCCATCAGTATGGCATGATTCATGGAGAAGTTTCCTGGTCAGGTGAACCCCCTAGAGGATGTTCTGGTCTTAGGACCTTATAAGCCCTGTGGCTTTGAAAGCTGCCTCCCTCCCCTGACCCAACAGGATCTGCAGCCCAAGGGGCCACCCTGCCCAACCAACCTGCAGAGGGCAACTTCTTCCTTAGGGCCTGACTTTCCCCCAGCGAGACGACAAGCACCTGAAGGTGGATCCTTGAGACCAGAGCAGCCAGGGCCCAGGTTTACCCCAGCCCAGCCACAGGGGACCAGAGGCCCAGACCAGACCACGACACTGCCTGAAGGCAATAAAAACCCAAATTCATGCTTCATCTCAAAAGTCAGTTTTTTATTATCGGGGGCCAGGGCCCAGGGAGGGGAGGTCGTTGAGCTAAAGCATCATTGCTCTCTTTCCAGGAAATGTTGTGAGCTGCAGTGAAAGCTCGAGATGTTGCATTTTTTTCAACTCAAGCATGTGTTTTTCAAAAATATCATCCTTCCCCCCCACCCCACTAATTTTAGAATCAGACCAAAGCCAAGCTACTGTCCTCTGTTTCTGTTGGGAAAATACTATATTTATTCGAGATGCAGAAGTGTGTCTCTGCAAACCTCCGACTGCTTCAGGAAAACAAATCTGCTTTAGACTATACAGAAACCATGATACAAAATTTATTTCATGCTAGAATCGCTTTGCATAACATTGGGCATGCAGGTTTTTACTCTGAAGTACTAAATTGCATACGATGCCAGGTTGTGCCTTAGTAAAGGTGGAGGAGGGTGCTCCTCCCGTGGTCCTGATCTTTTGGTGCTCTACATCCTGGTTTTAATGGAACACTTGGAAAATCCATATGTGGTGATTATTTACTATGAACAATTTGTTATGAAAGTTGGTCACACTGGATCTACACCAATAAGATGAGAGAATCAACCTAGACTAGCTGCTGTCAGGGGTCTTGGGGAGATGTCCGCTGGGTCACAAGCATGCCAAACGGGGAAGAAGGCAGCCGTGCGAGTTTCCACAATTCTATTTGGAGCAAAGTTCTCAGTTTCCACGTGAGAGATGAACTATGAAGGTGAGGTCAATATGACCGATGACTGACCAACTGCCCTTTTTGGAAGCTTTCCTCTCGATCTTGTGTACAAAAAGGAAGCAATCCATTCCCCATCTCCGTCCCTCCTCCCCTCGCCCCTCACCCCCAGAAATGTACAGGTTTCTACCGAACGCTATTACAGTTTGGCTCCAACAACGTGTGTCAAAGTCAAGAGCTTTGAAAGAAAATAGAGGGCTTTTGATGTTTTTCTTTTCGTTATTGTTGTTCAGGGTAATCATACAGTTGCAGGGGGTTGGTGGGTTTGGTTTGCTGGGTTTTCTGTTTAACTTCATGCAAGTCATGCTAAGGAGCCCCTCCACCCTCCCTCCCCAAATAAAATAAAATTTTAAAAAATGAAAAGAAGGAAAAGAAATCCTCTACGGTCAGTTACCATTTGGCCGTAGAAAAAGCTACGTCCGTCCTAGTACAATGCCTGGGCCACTCGGACTCGTCCGGCAAACCTGCATGGCGTGAATTTACTCTGTCCGAGGGTGAGGAGGGGCTGCAGATCCACCCAGTTGCTTAATAGCCACCAGTGTCCTCGGCCAAGCCGCCTGGTCAAGTCACTCTCACAGCCTCTGTCGGCATATACTTAGCAATGACAGGGCTTTCTTTGCAAAGATCTGTATGTAAAGAATACAATTAACACTTGAGCTTCTCTCCTTGGCTCTCCCATCCCGCTTGGTACTTAGTTTTTAAGGAGGAGGAGGAAAGACAGAACAGCCGCATGCAGAGGCAGGCAGATTGTTCTCCAGCTGGCTTGGTTTGCCCATGCACTGAGCCAGCCTAGCACGCCTCTTTCTCTCTCTCCTGGGGGAATGGGATGAGTCCCTACTTCTGCTCTGCACATTGACTCACACACCTGCATGCCTTGTGGCTCAGAATTAGCCTGAGAAAAACAAGTCCTCGGCGGCTGTCATGGCTCCATGAGAGCGCGGGCCAAATGGATGTGGGTGGGAACACTTCACCCTTAGCGCCTCCCAAAGACTCTGGCACCTAAGCCTCGGTGGGACTGAGGAATGGGTATCTCCTATGGACCATGCTTACCACTGGACTCCCAGCCACTGCAGGGAGGGGGTCTGCTCCTGTCCCACACTCCCTGGGCTTCCGGCAGCACAGTAAAGAGACTGTCCTGCCTGCTCTTTGGGGCCACACCAATTGGTCTAACATTCAAGATGACGGAGACAGAAAGCCCACGAGAGCTTCCTGGGCAGGCACGGACACTGGGAACCATCTACCTGCTTTTCCCCTCACTCTTTGGGTATTCTGCTTCTGGGGATTCTAGCACCTCCAACTGGGAAAAAGCCAGTCGCAAACGGGAACATCAGGCCCATCCATGGCCGGTGCCAAGGATGGGACCCTCCTGAAGGCTGGCAGCCCTCCGCCATGCAGCACCATGCAGGGAGTTGCATACCGTGCCAGGGCCCAAAGGACCGCTGGGCAGGGCAGAGAAGCAGAGACCAGTCTAGACCAGGTGGGCACAACTAAGCACCAGTGACCAGAACCATGTTCCCTCATCTCTGTGCGGGCTGCCTCTGCTCTTCTCGGTTTGCCTTTGCTTTTGCATTCTGTGTTTTCTCCTGCATATGGTTTAATCACTTCAAATACTGGAGCAGTTGTGAGTGACCATAGGCTGCACCAACTGTTGATTTCAAAAACCCAACTCCTTTTCTGACCCAGCCTGCTCACCCCAGTCAGCATGCATCTGTGTGCGCGTGTGAGGCGCTCCAAGACATGCACGAGCTGCCCAGCCAGTCTGCTGCACCAAGAAAGGCGTCCTCTGCCTTCTAGGTCCGGGCCAGTACCTGGAGCCTTGAGCTCAGGCGCCCTGGGCCCCCACCCCAAACCTCTCCCCAGCCCGTGCTGAAGCTCTAGGAGAAGCCTTTCTCTCCAGTGGGGTCAGCCTAGCGTTCTGACTACAAGGAGACCTGGAACAGAGGCCACCAGTGGCCTCAGCCTTCACCAACCACAAGAGGGTGCTGACCACACCCAGGGCAGAAGCTCATGGGTGCTGGGGATGGAAGGCGCTGCATCGTCCTGCTCAACCACCTTCTCTTGGCAAGTTCTTGATCTGCCACTGGCAATATTCTGACTACAAGGACAATGGCCTTACCCCCAAGCCCTGAAGACATCTCTCTCTTCTTGCCTCTCCTCCCTCTGGCCTGTGGGTTGATTATCTTTCAAGGATACCTCTTCCATGCCAAGAACATGGATCTTGGGTAGCTAAGTTCACAGGGTCCTGGCCCACTCCACTGCCCTCCTCAACCAGGGGAGAGGAGAGATCACTTTGCCTTTGGGACCTGACCTGCCATCTGCCAGAGCAACCTAGGGGAGTCAAGGCTCCTCCTGCATTCCTGGATACCCCCTGCCTTGGGGTCATGGCCTAAAGTCAACCTGTCCAGTCACCTCTCAACTCCCAGCTCAATACCAATCCACAGCTGCCAGGGCCTCAGGTTCTCTCTGCGAGCCTGACATCTCACTTGGGGGAAAGGACCTCAGCCCTCCAGGGGCCGACCCTGGCAGACTCCCTCCATCCTTGCCCCCCTCGGTGTGCCTGCCTGCCCCTCAGCGCCCTTGCCCGCCGCCCTCCCCACCCATCTGCAGGAGCGCGAGGCGGCCCGGACGATGCACAGTGCTCCAGCTTCCTCTACATACCCTTTCTCATTCCTCCACCAGGTGGGCACGCGTACTCCCCGGTTGATAAGAGGAAGCAGGGTCCGTATCTCTCGCGGGTGCCCGAGCGCGTAAAGGGCAGGCCCTCATCGGGAGTGAGGGCCTGGTCTATGTGGGGGCAGTCTTCGTTCGCCAGCGCGGCCTTCGCCACCTCCCCATTCAGTTTGGAATCTTCAAACATATAAGCAGAAGCTATTGAGACACTGAAAACTGTTTAGTGGGGGGCAGGGGGGGACAGGCCAGAAGCGGGGTAGTGGCAGAGGGCAGCTCGAGTGTCCCTGAGGACGGAAAAGCGGGCGGGCTGTGGAGGGAGGAAGGCACAAGGCAGGGGGCTTGGGGGAGTTCAGCTCATTCAGGCAGCCTTCGGGCTGCCCACAGTGCTGGGAGTGGGGACTCCTGGGTTTGCTCAAAGTTTGCAAAAAGATGAGTTGGTGATGGGCCCAGCAGGTGTGGTGCTGGGGGTCGGCCCCGAGCCCCAGGCAGGGCCGATGAAACAGGATGGTGTGGATGCAGTCATGGGGGAGAGCCAGACACACAGCTCAGGGAGAAGACAGACACTGACACGCAGAAACACTCCAGCCCAGAGAGGGGCCTTTCCGGACCCCTCTGCTGCTGACCAGAGCCCGGCTGCCTCCCGTCCGCAGCCAGCCAGTTGCTTGGGCTTCCCTAGCCCCGTCCAGACCACCTCATCTACTCTACCCCATCTCCCGTTTGGATCTCATCTGACCACCTGGTTCACACCGCCCCCACTCCCCATCTAATAACTCAGCCTGCGCCTGCCCCACCCAACCCCGTACAGACCCAAGCAGGTCACTCTGTATGCCCTGTTCCCCGTACAGATTAAACCTGGTCACACAGTCTACTCTGTTCCCACATGGACCTGGTCCAGTCACTGTATGCCCCGACCCCCATACAGACCAGTCCTGGTCACACAGTTTCCTCTCTGCCCATGCAAACCCAATTTGACCACTCCATCTGCTCCATCCCCCACACGGACGGACCCAAGGCGATCACTCGGTCTGCTCTGGTCCCCACACATATCAAGCCAGTGTCTTCCACTCCATGCTGCCCCCAGCAGGCCTGGTCAGCTTGCACAGGCACCACAAGGATGTATGCATGAGGCTGTGACAGCAGGACATGGATTTGGGAGGGGCTCCCATTCCTCTGTCCCCTCTGGTCAGTGTCCCCGGCAAAGCAAGGCAGATGAAGGTGTAGAAGACAACAGCGGCTGATGGACTTGGGTGGGGGAAATTGGAGTTCTGACCTCTGTGGCAGCCTGAGAAGAAGCCTGGGAGGAGGTCTGGGAGCACATTTGGTGGGGGGCAAAATGTGGCCAGAGCAAGGAGCCCCGTCTCTCCAAGATCTTGGAGCAGAGCCGTGGAAGCCTCTGGAGCTGACAGAGGTAGCCCTAACTGGTCTTTGCCCCCATCCCATCACTCTTGAGGACCGAACCTGCCCCAAACTCTCTGCCCTCAAAGCAGAATCTTCCTGGCCAGGGTGGAGCCAACTCCAATACTTCATCTAGGGTGAGAGTCTCAAGCACAAGCCCTTTTGTGGAAGAGGTAAACCAACTTGGGCATGACCACGTTAGGGGAGGCTCTCTGAAAGAGTAGACAGGGCGAAAAGGCTGGAGACAATGTCCACCCGATTGAACACTCTCCCGTGATCCTGTTCACATCATGTAACTACACGCAGAAGTGATCCTTCCCCACGTGCACACACTGGGCGTGCACGTGGGTGGGATCACCACCCGTGTACACATCATGTCACTACAAAGAGGCAGTCAGTCAAAAGAGAAATGGACCAATCAGGTTTATTCGTAAAGCAAATCCAAAAAAATCCCATCATAATTTTGGAACTTAAAAAAAAGGCTTTCGTACAAGATGGCAAAGCATTTCACGTACAGTGCGTTTCTTGACAAATCCCAGGGGCTTCACTTCCCAATTTACTCTGAACCAAAAAGGCCAGTTGCCAAGGTAACTCTGACACCATGTGACTGGGGCCGGGGCATCTCTGGGGTCTGGGGGCATGTCTGCAGGCACACACATGTGCTCACAGACACGCTGGTCCTGCCTCCCACTCTGGCTGGCCCCGTCTTCCATCCAAGGGTCTCCGGGCTGAGGGAGGAGGGTGCTGGGAGAGGGGAGGGAAACATTATGGAGAGGATGCGGATGACGATGTGGGGGTTGAGGCCCATAGCACCCTGCATGAATTTTCCTCAAGGGGAGAACAGTGGGTCCTCCAGGCAGCGTCTCCTTCTGGGAGGGGAGTGAGGACTCTCGGAGTCTCTGTTGGCCATCCTTTGCCAGGGGAGGTGTCCACAGCCTGCAGTTCTTGCCTGGGGGGGGATGGGTCAGAGTGGGGGGGTGCCTCCTCTCTGCCTCTGCGGAGATGGTGCCACCTGAGACCCTTCTCTGGCTCTGAATGCTGGGCCCCCGCCCACTGGCTCTGCCCACAAGCCCCCAGGCCCTGGGGGCTCCCAGCTCCCACAATCTCTAAAGGGCCCAAAGTTGGGGATGGTTTTGGGCAGGGGACAAGCAGCATCCATCAGGGATCCCTAGAGGGATGACAGCCTGGCACCTTTCCCTCCTGGGGGATTCCTGGCACACCTCTAGGGCGTGCTTCTTCTCTCAACCCTAACCTTTGAGGAGGGGCTAATGATTGGGTGGGGAAGTTTAAGTGTTGCTCTGTGAATGGGCCCAGTCCCACTGGCTGTTAGTCTATCTGTGGTTTAAGATGCTTTCAGAAACTGGGGCATTCTCCCTCCCCCACTCCAGAGGGGTGGCTGGAAGAAAGAGAAACCAAGGAGGGGCCAACTGTATAAATTTGGGAAACCCGTGAAGAAGGCCAAAGGTGTAAGCCCCCGCCCCTGCCCCGTCCTTTGGATGAGATAGTGGCTAGGAGCCTCCGTTCCCACCTGCTTTCTAGAGGCTGGGGGCCCTGCCTCCCCCAGCCCAGGGCCCCCAGGCCCCCACTAGACCCACAGGCCTGCAGTGATGAAATGGCAGCATGGAGAGCGTCTCAGAGATGGTTTCCAGGCTTGAAATGGGCTGAGATGAGCATCCGCGAGAGGGTCATTTTTTTTTAAACTTTGGAGCAAGGAGAACCCGAGGCTGGGCCCTCAGTCAGCAGAGCTGGCTTTTCTGCCCTGGTCTCCAGGCACCGCCAAAGTACTTACTGTTCACACCAGCTGCGGGCACCAGAGGGGCGCACGCGGGGCTGGGGTGGGGTGGGGGTTGCTGGGCGTTTCCTTGGGTTTAGCCCCAAGGGATCTGCCCAGCTGGGGACTTAGGAAAAAAGTCCCAGGCTAAATGGGGACAGTCTGTGAGACACGAGCAGGGAACAATCACGAGAACCGGCACAAGTCATGCAACAAAACGAGGAGAGAGAGAGAGAAACATTAGTGGAGAGAGAGAGAAAGACAGAAAATGTGAACAACACGGAAAAGAACACCCATGCCTGGCCCGCAGTGTCACTTCATTTCTCCGCTACTTCCCCCACAGCCCACCTGAGGACAACAAGGACCCCACTCAGGGCCCATGCTGCTGACCCTGCAGCTGGGTCCCTGCAGAAACTCTTTTAGCCCCACCCGCTGCCTAGTCAGCTCTGCCCAGCACCCTCCCCACCCATGGATAGCACCACTCACTGGGCAGCCACTGCAGCCCAGCAGGGGAAGTAGAGGGGCTGGGGATAGGGGACTTTAGACCCCTTGGCCAAAGATAACCCAGAGGCTGCAGGGTTAGCTCCCAGGGAACCCAGGCAGGGGCTTCTCTGGGACCTCGCGGCTGTTCTAGGTGCCATGGGCAGGAAGGGAGCCCAGCCACCACCCCTCCCTCCTGGCCACCCCCTGCTCTCCAACGTGGGACCCTGCAGCCCTGGACGCGGCACCACAAAGGACTGACCCACATCACAGGAGCAGAGATGGACAAGACACATGCGAATGGGCATGGCAGGACGGAGGAGGCACTGTGGGCTGTCCAGAGCGGGCGGTCTGGGCGTCCAAATGCAGATGCAGGAGGGAGCCCCTTTCTGGGAGAGAAGTAGCTTCTCCTAGGCCCCTCAGCCCCAGGCAATCCCTGGCTGTGCCAGGGTGCCCTCCTAGCATCCCCCAAGAGGTCTTACAACCAGGTGAGAACTGGATTCTTGATACCCCTCCCAGGACAAGACCTCAGACACTGAGGCCATGCCAGCCACAGCACAGAGGAGGAGACCAGATTGTCCCTGGGACAGACACACAGACTGAGGCTTCAGGCGAGACCAAGAGGTGGAGGTGAGGGGCAGGTGCTGCTGGCACCACTGGGGGCTGGCCTGGGGGGGCGGGAGGGATGCCCTCAGAACCCAGCATGCCACACACAGCCCCTAACTCTGGTTTGAAAAGTGGAATTGGAGAACCTCAGGTTTTGGCAAGGCCACTAGACTGCCTTGGGGGTACGGTGAGGCTAGAAAGGTCTTGGGGGGCTGCATCTCATCTCTCACAATTCCCATGGGGCCACATTTACCCTCCTTGCCCCTGGCCTCCCCCTCACTCTCCCACAAACTCACCCCAACCCTATGCCCATCTAGGTGCATGGCTGCAAGTAGGAAAAAGGGCGAATGGGAAGAACTCCGGGGTGCAGAGGTGGGGACGACGCCCCTAAAGACCACAGCTCCTCGTGGTGGTGGATAGCCGAGGTCTCACATGCCAGCTTTTGGAGGGAGAAGTATTCTGGTGAGGGATGAGGCTGGAGCTTCGGGGGTCAGGATATCAGGACAGCACCAACACTACTGGGAAGTGAGTGCTTGGGAAGGGCTTGGGAGCACAGCTGGGATGCTGGGGAGGCAGGAGGGATCCAGGCATCCAAGCTCCAGTGGGCAAACTTGGGAGGGCCCCAAATACTTCCTCAGTCACAGAGACTGTCCAAGCCAGAACTTTCTGGGCCCCTGAAACCTGAGACTAGGGCAAGGTGGCTCCCAAAAGCAGGGCTGGGGAGAGACTGTGGAGCCCAGGGGCAATCCCACAGGAGTGCATGGGTTTTACAGGTTTTGTGTCCTGGGATTAGTTGGTGTGCATGTCTGAACAAACACATCTGCACTCCCTGGGGGGCAGGGGGACTCCGCACAGGATAATACTGTCATTGTCCAAGAGTACAGAGGAATCTGGGCCTGCCTGGAGAGCAGTGGGGATTCTTGACTGGCTGGCCTGGGGCAACCGTGCTTGGGGCCAAAATCCTGAAAGATCCAGTGTTGGGGAGGATGCAAAGGAAGGACCAGGTAGTGCCACAGTGATGCCACTCAGGCTGAGCTCTTCCTGCTAGGCCCACATGGAAGCTGGGGCCTGGGCCAGCCCACACCTTCCCCCTAGAGGCCCAGAGCCCTGTTGGCAGCTCCTGAAATCAAGTAACTAGCTAATCCAAAGCAGAGAGCTCGGAGCTGTTTCAGCCTCAGAGACCCCTGCCCACCCCTGGCCATGTTCCTCTCAGGCACCTACAGAAATCCCAGGAAGGGGAGGGTATGAGGCAGGGTGAAAGGGCCGGGAAGCCCCCATGGGCAAAGAAATGGGCCTTGGGCGTAGTGCTCGGGCCAGCATAGCTGTGGGATAAAGCCAGGAGAGGATCGGGATGGGGTGGTGGGTCAGAGAGCGTGATAGCAGGGAAGAAAATCATTCGTCCACTGGGAGAGGCCACCCAAACCAGGGGGAAACTTCCCCACCTGGGGCTGAGCTAGCCACGCAGCCTCCTACCAGACCTGGGCATGGGGAGGTCCTTCATAGACTAAATGCCACCTAACTGTCATGTCAACCTCCCGCTCACCCGGCACTCCTTCTTACTCAGTGCTGTCATTCTTCTCTGGGTCATCTGTTCCTTTGAAATCCCTGTGTCCACAGAATAAGTCGATGGTATTCCATGGGTAGAGGTAGACTATGGGCTTTATATCTTCGGACCAGAGCCCCATGATCAACTTTATGTGCTATGTGCAGGTTCTCATAAAACTGAGATAGTCCCATAACGAACCACTAGCCATGGAATATTAGAATATATCCCACGGTGACTAGTATTGTTTCATGCCCCCCTCCCCCCTCCCGGCCCCCAGTGAATTCTCGGGAAAGTGGTTGTACGCTGGTTGGGATGTCTATATTGCTGCTGCAGTCCCTACTGCTGGAAACGGGGAGAACCCTCGGTGGGAGGCTGTTGCTGGTCTGTAGCGCTTTCATCTAAGCTGCCCAGGGTGGCGGCCCCCACTAGTCCTTTGCTCGGCAGCTGCTTCCATCAGGTCACCGGAAACTCCCACTCGACCATCAACCCAAACAGACAACGTGAAAGCTAGAGTCACTCCAACAGGTTCCTAAAGATAAAGGCTAAACTCTAGAGTGGTGGTAGAAGATGAGTTGGTTCGGCATGCTATGGGGTAAGTAAGCTTGTCACGGAGGGCTACAGGTGTCTCCTGGGAAGGATCTCGAGCTGGGCAGCCCGAATCAGGGCAGGAATTCTACTCAGCTATGGAGACAGGCTCTGCTGGGGGTGAGAACCCTTGCTCCTGCCTTTGCAAGGGACCCTCCTGCCCAGATCCCATGCACCATCTCTGCCCTCTACACAGCCTGAAGGGAGCTGTGGTAAGGACCAGATCAAAGGCTGTCTGGCATTTCCAAATCACACCCGCCCCCGCCCTGTCCCAACACCGGGTCAGTGGCCTGAGTCAGAGCCTCACGCGGGACTCCTGCCCCGCCGAGCAGAGCCCCCCGGCTCCTGCTAAGTTAGTCCTCAGCAACCTGGCGGGCCGCGTTGTCTCTTCAGAACATCAGGAGACCAACCGCGTCAACCTCCTTACCCAGGGGCACCAGTGAGGTTCCTCTAGCAGGCTCTCGCCTTCTGAATTTGGCCGCCCAGCATCTCCCTGGGCCCTCAGGCTCCACACCTCGAGACTGAGTGCGGGGTCCGGGGTCACCCACGGAACTAAGGAAGCAGTCTGACTGGATCTGGAATCATCGCTACAAGGGGCGGAGGTGAAAGGTCAGATCGACATGCCTCTAAGAGGTTTCCTACCTGCTCTGTTAATTTCTAAAATTTCTTCCTGGGCCAGCGGACATGTGTCACTCTGAGTACTGTGGTGTGGAGAGTTTACGACAGATTTACAATAATTGGGAGATCCCAGCTGCGGTGGCCGCGGAATATGCTTCTTTTTTTTCTTTGGTAGTTTCTGCTTAGCCATGGCTAAGGAGTAATACATCCCGAAATTGTTCACGATGACGGGCACGGGCATGGCGATGGTGAGCACGCCCGCCAGCGCACAGAGGGCCCCCACCAGCATGCCGGACCACGTCTGCGGGTACATGTCTCCGTAGCCCAGGGTCGTCATGGTGACCACGGCCCACCAGAAGCCGATGGGGATGTTCTTAAAGTGCGTGTGCTCACTGGCGCTGGGGTCGTTGGGCTGTGCCCCTATCCTTTCGGCGTAGTAGATCATGGTGGCGAAGATCAGCACGCCCAGGGCCAGGAAGATGATGAGCAGCAAGAACTCGTTGGTGCTGGCGCGGAGCGTGTGGCCCAGGACCCGCAGGCCCACAAAGTGGCGGGTCAGCTTAAAGATACGCAGGATGCGCACGAAGCGGACGACGCGCAGGAAGCCCAGCACGTCCTTGGCAGCCTTGGAGGACAGGCCGCTCAGCCCCACCTCCAGGTAGAAGGGCAGGATGGCTACAAAGTCAATGATGTTGAGCGAGTTCTTAATGAACTCTACCTTGTTGGGGCAGAAGACAACACGCATGAGGAACTCGAAGGTGAACCAGACCACACAGACGCCCTCGATGTAGGTGAGGAAGGCCTCCGTCTCCGCCTCCCGGTAGTAGCGCACTTGCGTGCCATTGCGAACGTTCTCGATCTCCGTCTTGTTCACGATGGGGTTGAAGCGCTCGTGGGTCTCCAGGCAGAAGGTGGTGATGGAGACCAGGATGAAGAAGAGGGAAGCGAAGGCCACATACTGTGGGGATAAAGACACAGTGTCAGGGGGAGGCCCACCCAGAGTGGAGAAGCCTGGGTTGCCTCTGTCCAGTCCCAGGGCCAGGCTGGGAGAGATGCCTGCACTAGGCCTCCTGCATCACAACGTGCCACATTTCTCTCCTCAGGGCACGGGGGACCTGCACGACCGCCAGGGCAGGCTCTAAAACCCTCCTACTCTGTCTTCCATGCTCTCTTCTTCCCCCTATTGATGCTCTCTTCTTTCCCTATTGCCAGCTAAATGTGGAAGCCCCAAGAACTAGCGTAACTACAGAGGGAAGGAGCTTGGGTCCCTGAAAAGAAAGACATCCGCCAAATACCCACATTGAACTGTTACCTGAGTGGGAAATAAACTCCCATTGTGTTCAGCCACTATGATTTGGAACTGATTGGTTAAGGCATTTAGCTACACCCTGCCCAATAAAAGGTACCCAGCCTGCTGGGGCTGAAGTTTGCAAAGAAATAAGAGGGGATAGCTAGAGTGGAATGAAACCCCTCAGAGGCCAGATCTCCATTTGTTCTCCTAACTCCAGGCTCTTTGCTGCTTTTTCATGAGTCTGTACCTCCCTCATGTGGTCTCTTTCAGGTTCTATCCTGCCTAGAACTGAAAAAAATGTATGTCTTCCCCATGGTCTCAGACAGCTTTTTAAAATGTACCCCCTCTCTCTGTCTTCCTAGGAACTTGCACCACAACATGGTAATGAATTCCCTGTCCTTGGAGGTACTCAAATAGAGGCTGAAAGATCTTTTGTGAGAGCGACTGTTTGAGGGTTCAGGCATCAGGAGAATTGCACCAGGGATCCCCAAAGGCACCATAACCCATAGGCTCTACTTGACTCCTTTCCAGCCCTAGGGTAAGGGTGTGAGTGGGAGAGAGGAAGAAGCTGCTGGAGGCCTGGGGCTTCCCAAACATGTGTGGGCTCCTACTCTCTCAGACAGCACCAGTGAAAAGGAATGCCTGTCCAGAACCACCTACTCTGGCCCTGGGCCCCCTGCAAAGAGGTTCGGGAGACCCTTTGGTTTGGTTTGGAGGTCTCATCTACTGACCCCTGGGGCTTCTCTAGCCTGCAGCAGGCATGGGTACCGAGGAGACAGAATCGAGCAGCTTTCTGAGTTTCAAATCCTCCTGCTCAGACTGGATCCAGGGGCAAGGTCTCTTCTCACAGTCTCCTACCAGGCCCACCGGGACTCTAACATACTGTGCCCTCCCTTGGCCCTGCCCTGGGCGGATGGGCCCCTGCCAGTAAGCCCTCAGGGGCCTAGATAGTCACTCCCGCCTGCATGGCCTCACTGTACCCCACTCCTCTGGGTTCCCCTTCTCCCTACCTAGCCATGGCCAAAGCAGTGCCATCTCCAGGAGGCAGCTCTGGGCTACAGTCTGTAAGGGGTGACACCTTTGTTCTCTGACCTGCCCTCATAGATCACTTGGAGGAGGGCCGAGGTTGCACCCTGTGTCAGCAGCAGGAGGCAGCTATGCTGCCTCTAGGGGCCTCCTTGTTTGCAGTGATGCCCCTCCCCGACCCAGGGGGGTGCCCTGGAAGTCCCAGAACAGTCTTGTTTGGATTAACCATGGTCACAGGGCCTGACACTCAACCTGGCAGGGATCTGGGAACCAGGAAGTATGTGGACCTTCCAAACCACATTCTCTGTTGGGGGAAGTTGGGAGCAAAGGGAAGCGACAAAGCTGGCATCGCAGAATGACGCAGTGAGAGCAGTCTGTAGACACCACGTGCTACGAATGGGGAGCTGAGGCCTAGAAACAGGAAGAGCTCTGCCTAAGCTATGCCAAGGGGACACTATTAGTCCTGTTGGTTCAGAGCATTGTGCAATTTTCAGAAAACTGTCTCCTGAGCCACTATCAAGTGTGGTCCATATGCATCCTTCCTTCCATCCATCTGTCCCTCCTTTCTGTTTTTAAATTTTATTTATTTATTTATTTATATTTTGTAGAGATAGGGTCTCTCTATGTTGTCCAGGCTGGTTTTGAACTCCTGGCTTCGGGCAAGCCTCCGGCCTTGACTGCCCCAAGTGCTGGGATTACAGGCAAGAACCACCCCACCTGGCCTATCCCTTCTTTCTTTCACCAGCGCATCATTCTCCCTTCCTCCTTTCCTCTCTCCTTCCCTGCATCCATTCATCCTTTCTTAAATCCATTCATGCACTCATCCATCCACTCATCCTCCCTCCCTTCTTTTCTCTCTCCCTCCCTCCCTTCTTTCCTTCTATACACCCATTCATTCTTTTTCCCTTCCCTCCTTTTTTGTTTTTCTTTCTCTCCCTCCCTCTTTCCTGTATCCCACCCTCCCTCCCTCCCTCCCTCCTTTCCATCCATCCATGCATCCATCCATCCATTCCTCACAAGGCACCAAGTTCTGCCTGGCAGAGTTGAATAAGGCCTCAATCCAGCCTCAGGGAGCTCCCTACCTAGCTCAGGTGAAGGATACGTTCAGAGACAAGTACAATGCAGTGGACTGAAAAGCTGAATCCTCAGCCTTATGAACTAGAGGAGACTGGAAAAAGGTCAGAGTAATTTGTGTGCACTTGAGAGAGGCAGGGTAGAGGTTTAAAGCCATGACTTCCAGATCCAGAAAGACCAGACCTGGGCACCACAGAGGTAGACCAGGAAAGCAACGTGGAAGCAACAGGAAGAGGCCACCACTCTGGCTGCAAGTTTAATGAGCTCCAGAGCTCTCTCCATCACCAGAGTCGCCAAGGCTCTTGGAGCTAAAACACACATCCTGGTCTGCTGGGTATCTGGCTTCAGAGTCCCCCTAGAAGGCCCCATCCTGGAGGTTGGTGTTCACAGCCCAGAGACTCCCTGAGGGCAGGGCAGGCCCCCCCAGCTGCACCCCCTGCCCTGGCCTTTGTATGGGAGGAGAGGAACAAGCACACTGTGGGTGACCGAACGGTGCCAAGAGGCAGGGCCCATTGCTCACTTGGCTCTCAATCCTGGCTGGAGGCCGGAGGCACCTCCCCTCCTCACTGCCCTATCAGCCAGGACATCCCCTTCCCAAACCGCCCCCGGACATCCATTCTCCACTGTACCCCCTGTTCATATGGGACGCTCTCCGGGCAGGGTCACTGCCATCAAAGCATGTTTTAGACTTCAGTCTTGGCTACCAGAGGATGCTGCCAACTGGAATCCCAGCTCTGCCCATGCAGCCCACAAAGAAAGCCCAAATTTCCCAGCCTGGCACATGAGGCTCTCCACGCCCTGGCCTCATTTAATTTCCCAGGGTCCTCTCCCTGCCTGCACCCAACATTCTTGCCATATGCACACCTCTGCCATTTCTGACCATAGAGTGTCTCCCCACCTCCGTGGTTTTGTACCTGCTGTTCCTTCTGCTGGAGAGTGCTCCTGTCAGTCTCTGTCTGGAAATATCCCATTCATCCTTCAGGGCCCTACTAAGTGGACCTTCCCCTGAGTTGAGGCTCCCCTTCACAGCCGTGGCCCACAGGAGGCAGCAACTGAAGGGAATCCCTAGGAATCTCTAAATGCACCCTAGGGAGGCAGCAAGCCCATCTCCAACTCTGGCTCTTTAGTGCCTGGGGAGGCTCACGGGAACAGCCCAGAGAGGGCACTGATGTCCCAGGAGCTTGGTAACTCCCAGGCGCCCCCACGGGCCTCAGAGCTCTCACCTCAAGTGCTTCTCTCAGTTCAGATCCCTATCAGAAAACTCAGGCCTTATAAGATTAGGGTAAAAAGTCTTTGTTTCTCAGGGATCAATGGACAGCCTGTCTAGATTCTTTCCTCTCTGGGCCCCAGTGCCCAAGGAGTGGAGGATGGGGAGCAGGCAGCAAAAGCCAGGTCCAGGTGCAAAGACCCCTTCCCCAGACAGTCAGTAGAGCTGGAGGCCAGGCCTCTCGCCCTGCTCAGGCTCCCTGGGCGCCTGCCTTCCTGTCCTCTGCTACTGTGAGGCCTGATCTTCTCTGTTACAGGCAGAGCCCCAGCAACATCAAATCCCAAGGGACCCCTAGAGGGTTGCGGGGGAAGATGCCCCAGCCTGCTCAGACCCCAGTGTCCTCCTAAGTCTCAACCAGTAGGAGGTCAGCCACAGGCACAGCTGGAGCAAGAGCAACGAAGCCCGAGGTCCCTTGTGTCCATTCTCCAGGGCTGACTGTGCATAGGAAGGAGAGAGGAAAAAGCTCCCAAAGCTTGAGGACCTACTATGCGCCTTCAGTCCTCACACCATCTTGGTGAGACAGGGTCATATCCCCATTGTGTCAAGGAGGAAATGCAGGTACAGGGAGGTTCGGGGACTAAGCCAAGGTTTTTAACACTCGTGATGAGGCTGAGACTTGGACCCAGGTGTTTTTCTTTTGTTTTTGTTTTTGAGATGGAGTCCTGCTCTGTCACACAGGCTGGAGTGCAGTGGCATGTTTGGCTCACTGCAACCTCCGCCTCCTGGGTTCCCGCCTCAGCCTCCCAAGTAGCTGGGATTATAAGCTTGCACCACCACACCCGGCTATTTTTTTTTTTTTTTTTTTTAAAGGCAGTGTCTCATTCTGTCACCCAGGCTGGAGTGCAATGGTGCAATCTCAGCTCACTGCAACCTCTGCCTCCTGGGTTCAAGTGATTTTCCACCTCAGCCTCCTGAGTAGATGGGACTACAGGTGCCCGCCACCACGCCTGGCTAATTTTTTGTGTGTGTGTTTTTTAGTAGAGGTGGGGTTTCATCATGTTGGCCAGGCTGGTCTCGAACCCCTGATCTCAGGTGATTCACCCGACTAGGCCTCCCAAGTGTATTGAGCTCTAGAACCTAAGCTCTTGCCTCCAGAGTCACCAAAGCTCCTAGAGCTAAAATGCAGCCCCACCCACTGGAGAGCTGCCCCGATTGTGTCTAAATGGCTCTGTCTAGGAGCTTAACAGGCACAGCCCAGAATCCCTAAGAGCAGGTTGTGCCTATGCCCAGTGATAGAGCAGGGTTACCTGGATCCAAAGACTGGAGCCAGCCACATCTAAATGCTTCTTAGGCCTCATTG